GAACGAGTGTACTTACGCTCACAAAGTGTCATTTTGGTGGTTCGCTGCTACACGAGAAAACGAAGTTTACTTTGCGAGTGATGACAGCGGCAATTGTTGGGTTTGTAGCACAATATATATTTGTTACTTTGGCGCCCGTGTCTCATCGTCGGACCGCGTTGTCTTCGTGGAAGTAGCACCAGTGGCACACGCCATTGCAAACGACTAGAGAACGACTCGCCCGCACATGTGCAAGTGTGATTGGAAGTAAACAACGCGATGAACCCGGCCATTGCACAGCATGTGCGCTGCATACCCGTAACGGACGTGGCCGCAAACTGCCCGAGAGTGAGAGTAGCGAGAACTTATGTTGATTTATGGCTTGTTTTAGTATATAGCAAACTCCTTTATAACTAAATAATGGTTTTAAAATATGAGCGCCACTTTAGGCAACAGCGTATTTCTGTGCAAGCCACTGATACCGAGGCTACACATTTGGTCGCAGCTAAGTGAGGTAGGGGAACGCACTTCCCGGCAAGTGTACTTTGCAGCGAGTGACACTAAACTTGCTCGTGTGACAGCGCGCAAATGACACTCGCGGCTAAGTTTACTCGCTCGAAGTGCACTTAAGTTGCCACGTGTGACAGGGGTATAAGACACCACCGAGTGTTCAGCAACCCGAGCATGTGCAGTGGGGTCAGAACCTCTCCCCTGTACTCCTCTCCTTAAAACGCGGAACCATTTTTACGGAAAAGAGGATTTCCTCCTTTCTAGGCTGTTGCACGAGAGGAGAAAAGCCGACGTCGCAGCCTCGGCAGTGCAGTTTTTTTTAGGGGGGGGGGGGGGGGGGAGTGCACACGCGCACTAACAACAGACCAGAGAGGGAGCCTTATTGATAGGCACTGTGCCGTGCTCCTGACCGGGCTGCAGAAATTAGGTGCCTTTTCTCATCTTCTAACCACTACCACCACCTTATTGAGCGAAAAGGTCTTATACAAGCGGCTCAGCGTTCGTTCGGAATTTAGTTAAGGGCGTCTTTACTTGGCTTTCGCTTGGCTTTGCTTTACTCGATAGAAGCAACAGTACCTTCAACCAGTAGTAGGGCACACACGCAGCGGTAGAAAATTGAAAGGTCAATCAATAAGAAGCAGAGTCGTTTCCGCCCTAGCACTGCGGTCGACGGTAGATGGCACACCACCATATATGGGGCATGGATTGGCAGTTTGGCACGTGCTCACAAGGTCCGCAAACGTTTTTGGTTGACTGTACACGTACCACTCTTTTCAAACACTACAGTTCACCACTGTCGAATCTGGTTTCCGCACAAATTATAATAGAGAAGCCCGTGAGTCGTTCCTATAAGTTTGACACCATCGCGTCTGATCTCAGTGAAAACGTAGGAACACTAAGTTGTATATTGGTGTAACCTGTATCAGCCTATTTTATGTATAATAACTTCATTGGTTAGCAAGTCACGCTATGTCGTCTATACCGGTTGGTTACGTAGCAACTATGCAACGTCTTATCTATAGCTCTTTCACGGTTGATTTTTCAATATGTTTCTTTTTGCATTTTGCTATTACCGGTCGTACTGCATGTCATGTTACGCGTTTTTCTTTATTGTTAAAAGACGTGCTCACATAACATCTTTTTAAACGTGTATCAGACGCTCTTCGGAGAGTGTGACATGCATTTTAAGTTTGCCCATGTATCGCCTTTCATGTCAGTTTTCGTATCTTCCTCTCATTGATATCCATGTGTATATAAACAGCAGTCATACCATGCACTGACGACACTTGTAGCGCGTTGCTCAAACAAAAGAAGTACGCGACAGTTGTTGATTCGCGCTTGTCCTTTGTGCTTGAGCGGCGCGCTTCAAGTTTCGAGCTGCTGGCATTCTTCGTGTGACATTGCAATTTGTTGCTGACGCATGCATTGCTTAGCCTTTGCTCCAAAACTGTTTTCTTTTTCTGCGCTAGAAACTGCAAGAAATTATCTGTCATTTACGGGATATGAACTGAACATAATCAATCCCCGGTGGGACACGTTTTCGACGAACTACAGATGTCTCTGACCGACGTCCGAGACTCAATAGCATGTTCATCGGTTCGCATTTCAGAATAAGAAATGTGCGTTTGCGTACATTTATGCGTAGCGAGCGCACATGCACGCATCTATTTTGAGTCGAGAGGTGGCGAGAAGTAGACCGATTTTGCAAACGCCCGCGCAATTCAAACACTAATGATATGCGCACGCAACCTACACATGCCCACAACTAAATAACTAGCAACTAAACGGAAACATTATCAGTCAGGTGTGCGCGCATGCGCAGAAGAGCACCGAATCGAATAAGCCTCTTTTTATCTACCAGTTACACTAACGACCAGTTTTCTTTTTTTTTTTTTTTGCTGCAGCTCTGGTTTTTATCTGGTGCACGTAAAAAAGTTTGTTGTCATACAATTTTTTTTTATTTCTGTATGTTTATTTCTGTATGTATGTTATCCTTGTATGTAACTCAGAAGAATGCTTTTAGTTAAAATACCGTGTTCCATTCTCGCTTCTTACACTCTCGGGGGCAATATGGCCATCTAGTCTGTGATGGCAGAGCTCCTGTAGTTTTTACAACCAAAGCCCACCTCTTATCAAACCATCGCCGGAAGGTGCTTGCAACATCCCTTAAGTGCACGACTTGGAAAATACACAAAATATGCGAGAGCAGTGGACGTCAGAAAGAGCACACAATAAAAAAATATGACAAAGCATCCGTGTACTTACACGGACTCTTTCCACTCGACCAGCCTATCTCGCAATCCCACTTCGCTGCTTCTCAGAGCCGTGTATTGTAATTCCGCTCTTTCACAAAAAGGGTAAACTTTTGAGCGATTGTTGCGCAACGAGAGTGTTTCATACGTGTTTTTAATTTCATTTTATCTACCAAAGTATTCTAGAACAAATAAGGCCGCCAGTGGCTTTCACGGAAGACTAAAAGCATGGGCCAGTTAAACAGGTCACTTTACACACGTGAGCTATCTTTATAAGTGTAAAACCTAAAATTTGTATTGATAACTATAGAATTCGTGAACAAATGCAGTGCGCAGTGTTTAGCTAATATGAAACTGTTGTGAATAAGGTATGGTACCACTGCCTTGCAGGCAAAAGCAAGGCGAAGTGGTATTTGCCGCATCAATATTCAATCTTGTCCGAACCCAAGTTGGTGTTCAGCGTAGGTTGGGTAGTATCATTGAGCTTTCTTTTCTGAAAGTCACCTTCCATGGGGAAATCCCCTTTCCGTGAACACTGTAATGTAGCGAATAGTTCACGATACCTATGGCAGTTGCTAGAGATTTAATGATTTCAGCGTGCAGCGTGTATTAAAGCAAACATATTGTGAAGCAACAAGACTAAAAGTGCACTTGTGTAGTCTGTTCCTTACTTCGTCCTCGTGCTGTTGCCGCACCCATTGCAAATTACCACCACCTCACTCACCCGTCAATTATTTTGAAAGCTCATAATTAAGCTCAAGAGGAATGTTTACATTAAGAAAGTTCTCAACATAAGGCATTCAACGTATTGTGGGTATTTATCAGGCACTGCTTCATCATCGGTACATAATCATTATCACACGGTATTCTTCATCATCACTTGTGAGAACAAATGTGTCCTTAGGCTTTTTTACGACGTTTTATTGTTAATGTGTAATATCTCACACATTTATTTTTGAACCTTTGCAAGTGAATTACTTTTCTAAGCAAGGCACTGTCCAATTCACCGCCTATACCCCGTAGTGATTTGCGCCAAGATCCTGAGCAGCAACCAATGCCCTGAGACTACTCTATGCCACCAGTGTGACTGGTTCGCCACTTCTTCGAGGCGTATTGAAGGCCCGTCAACTGCGATGTCACAGCTTATAGATACAGTGATCGTTACCCGAGATCGCAAACGTCTGTTAGTAATGGACACTGCCTTCTGTCGTTCTTCTGCAGGGGAACCAACAGTCGTATATTTCCAGTTTTTCATCCAGAGTGCGTTTCACGCCTATCCCGTGAACCAGGTGAGTGCAAGGGTGTAGTTTTCATTACTCCATCAGTGAGTAAAGTCATTAGCATCGTTCTTTTACTATCGGAAGTAAAAGTGATCATTTTCTTGAATGCAGCAGGTGTGATGCAGACTCCTTAGTTCAGTGATAACGCAGTACTGCAACTAGAAACTAGAAAGGGAGCGGCGAGTTTAATTCTTGGATGTTTCACTTCCGTTCAATAATATTACTGCCGAGTGGGGACAAAGTGTGCAGTCACTATGTTGGGAGCTTGTTCAATCAACCGTCACTGCTGAAAGATTTTAACCTGGAGATCACGCCGAAAGTCGCATCAACATTTTATCGAATTCTTCGCGAATGATTCTTGAATATAGCACTCACAATGCTTTCCTTGGTTTCGTTATCTGTTCATTTCGTGCGCCGTTTGCCTCTAACAAAACAAGGAATCCTCGATCATTTACCCTTCTTTCTTGAAACAAATTTAATGAGAAATAACAGACCATTGTGCCGAAGAAAGTATATGGGATGGTATCAGAAGAGATTGTAATGCAAATGTGAAGAGAAATGAGTTGCCGCCCTGTCGGCGGAAAGTTATCGTGACGTCCACTTTTTCTCCCATTTAGATACATATATTTCTAATAATATCCCCTATGCTTTCTCCGGCATCATTGTCGGTTAGTTCTCATTATTATGGGGCCCAACAATGAAAACGGGCACTTAAAGGTACACTTCTTTTCTCCTACACACAAGGTGTTTCAGCTAACTTGCATCATATAGAGGTTGCCGTAGTCTGGGCGAACAGCCCAGACTACGGCAAGGCTTTCTCTTTCAATTGTGGAGTAGGCTGCTTCGCTGGGTAGTAATTTACGGCTCGCGTAGGAAACTGGATGCAGACGGCCTTGGTGTTCCTGGAGCAATACTGCTCCTAAGCTCCGCGAAGACGCATCCGTGCGCAGAACAAATGGCTTATGCAAGTCGGGTGACTTCAGCACAGGCTGCGTGGACAATAGATTCTGCACTTGTCGAAACGCTCTCTCATGTTCTTCACCTCTGAGATACGCATGTACATGCCTCGGGTATTCTGCCCAATGTCGAAATAAAACGTCTTGTTTTCTACACGCATGTGGCGCACTTCAGGTAGTTCTCCTTTGAAAGCTTCGTCGTCCGTGCCAAACTCTTCTAGTAAGTTCGTGAGCGCGTCGCGGAACTCGATCATACCCTGTGCAGGGATGGCGATCTGGGACCTAGGACCACCTCGTGCTATCGTCTGGGACACCCTTAGAAACCGCCCCCTGGAGTTTTCCTTGATATCCAGGTAGTAGCGCCTATTGTCCTTAATCATTATCTCACTTTTCAACTTGCCATCTTCAGGCAGTTTCTCTGGATTGGGGGGACCCAGGAAAGCGTACAGCTCACTGAAGGATGTCAGGTGGTCCCGGAACTCAGCCGCTGTTGACATGGCGAGGAGGAGACGACTTTTCCTACCCACTACCCCGACCTGTTGCACCTCGGCCACCTTGATGAAGCGGCCCCGGCGGTTCTGCTTGACGTCCAGGTAAAACCTCTTGGACTGGATCTGGAGCATCTTGGTGGCCAGCTCCTGCTCACCCTGCGACATGAGCTGTCCTCCGTTTTCCGAAGCGCCGTCATCTTCACTGGAGGACCCGTGCCCTGCGGATTTACTTTGGGATTGATGTTGCTCATCGACACTTTCCCGATCCGACATGATTTTCTTGCCAACCGCCTAGAAACACTTTCGCAAAGTTTCGTCATCCACTTGATATTTTTTAAGCGCCTCACTTCCTACTTGTAAAGCAGGCAGAGTCATCACAGGTAAAGAAGTGTGCTTCTTCGTTTCTCCTGCTTTTCCCACGAGGACTTCTTCAGGTAGGGGCCACTTTTCCATGGCTTCATGCGGTGGCTCATACGCTTCCTCCGCATTCGATCTTGGTTGGGTTGCGTGCAAATTGCCAGATACATCCTGCTCACCATTGACAGCATTCTCTTTGCTAGAGTCTGTGCATGGTGCACGCCTTGTTTCCACATGGCCATGGTCATGCTGTGGTGCTGACTCATTCATAGGTAACGTATCCGGCAATGCCGCGCCCTTGATGTTGCCCAAAATTACGTCGTATAATGGGTCGGTCATACACTTAATGAGTACTTCCCCAGTAAACAATGTACATTGCAAAAGGACTTTTGCCTCTGGGAGGTATCGCACAGTACGGTCCAGTAAGTACACTGGACTCGTCGTTCCCGTGAACTTCTTCTTCGGAACCAAGGATTGCCGCACGACGACCGTGTTGCAGCCGGTGTCTCGAAGCACATGCACTGGTCTGTCCTCTAGGAACCCCTCCACAACAGGCATGTCAGCGACTCCAACGTTCGCGGATCGTCGACTTGATGTGGCATTGACGATGGGTATTGTTCCGCCGTCTTGGAGAACAATGTAGCCACTCTTATGGTGTTCAGGTGTCAAGTCTTCGCGTTTTTCCGATAGCATACATGATGCCTGGTCTTTGCCAAATTTTCTACCGGGGCATCTGTCACTGCTGTGTCCACTTTGTTTGCATACTCCGCATCGGCTGAAAGTATTCCCTTTTGTGCGGGACCAGCAGTCGGCTACGCGATGGCCTGCCTTGTCACAAAGGAAACAGCGACTTGCAGGCTTCTCCGTCTTCTTCGCGGACTCCGGCTTGGACACCGAAGGTCCCGGATCCTTGGGAATCCGTTCTCTTCCTAAGTTTGTGAGCGCCCGTGCTTCCATGAAGTTATCGGCAGTCTCGCAAAGCGAACTCAGTGTTTTGCAACTTCTCTCCTTGAGAAAGATCCTGAGTGCCGGAGAACAACCCTTCATGAATTGCTCACTTATCATCAGATCTCGCAGGCTAGCAAAGCTTGTCTCTGTTTTTCCCACTTCAAGCCAACGGTCAAAGTATCCGGAAAGTCTTGCAGCATACTGCAGACCAGTCTCGTTTTCTTCGGGCTTCGCTTTACGAAATTTTTCGCGGTAGCCTTCCGCAGTATACCGGAACCTCTGAACCTTTCATCATATATATATATATATATATATATATATATATATATATATATATATATATATATATATATATATATATATACACAAAGAGGGTTCAACATAAATCGAAGACGATGCAGTGAGCGATGGAAAGGTATATGATATGTGCAAACTTAAGAGAAGGAAAGAGTAGAGTGGGTCGACAAATGAGCCGCGGTTAGGGATGTCATGGTTGAAATCAAGCACAAAAAATGGTAATGGGCTGGGCTCATAGCACGTAGGCAGAATAACCACTAGTCAGTAAGGGTAACTGAATGAATTCCCAGCGAAAACAAACGCACGAAGGGGTGACAGGAAGATAGGTTGGCCGATCAAATTAAAAAAGTCACAGCTTTGCTGCAAAGGCGAAGAAATGAACACGATAGCAACAAATTGGAAGGTCACGCGGTGATTGGCAAGCAGATCGAAACGTGAACCTTTTTGCTCACGTACAAATGACGCACGAAACGTACACACAGGTACAGATGAACGCGAATAAGCATCTCAGTTGTTACTTCGCGGTGTCTGAAAAGCGCGCCATTTTTGCAAACGGAGGCAGTGCGACGAGTGCAGTAATCACTGTGTGCCCGGTAACTCCAACAGAATCATACCGGTGAAAGCCCAAAGCATACGATTGTTCTCACCGCTAGATAAGTGAGCACTCGTGAGAGCGTTCCCTCTCCGTGGGGCAAAGTATACGTGTGGGAGATGAGAGCGCGCGCGCCACCGCGTATGTTGACAATCTGGCGACGCGTGCTCATTGCGCCATCTCATTGGTAAGGCTGAAAACACGATAGTAGTTCCCCCAAACACGCCGCCAACCCCCCCCCCCCCCCCCATCGCGGAGGCCTTGCACCGAGATACCCATCGCTCGCGGGAAGTCGTAGCTATAAATAGCTTGCCGTTTGAACATTGAACAATGTGCGCCTTCGTGGCTCATTGGATAACGCCTCGCACTCACAATTGATAGGTCGGTGGTTCGATTCCGCGCGTCGGAGTTATATAGATACGTACACATATGCGGTGAATGACGCGACGCCTACATCGGCGGCAAAATCCAGCCGAGAGTGTCCATATAATTGTTATCGCAATAAACGTTCGCAGGTATAACGTGGCCGCAAAAAGCACAAGACCGGTTTGATCAGCGGATCATGGGAGGGGCATTTGCCCTGCAGTGGGCGATTATATATATATATATATATATATATATATATATATATATATATATATATATATATATATATATATATATATATATATATATATATATATATATATTACGTCTACAAGAGGGGTTCATACAGAGCTGACGTAATGGTCGGCTCGACGGTATACATCAGTGAACGCGCACAAGCGAGCTCTTTTTACCAACCGAACGTCCTCTTCTTCTGCCACCACCATGTTCCCCGCTACACAGGTGCGCATACCTAAATTACACATGTGGTAACATTTCCCTCCGTGCAGACGAAGCCCACTGGGCGAGTCAAACAGTCTCTCGAGGAATAAAGCGCTTCAAACGTGCAACATGGACAAGTTCAGTTTTTGCAGACCGTCGGCCGTTCGAATGGAGACGCGCTATGCGGTAAACTAAATCACTGATATGGTCTACAACAAGATAAGGTCCCGCATAGTGCGCTAGCAGTTTCCCGCTCAAACCACGTTTTCTAGTTGGTGTCCACAGCAACACTAGGTCGCCGCGATTGTACGTCACGTGTCGGAGTCGGCGGTCAAAATGTGCCTTCGAGCGGCCTTGCGAAGCACGAGTGCGCAAACAAGCAAGACGTCTAGCTTCTTCTGCCCGACAGATGATATCGGATATGCAGGGATCATGGTGGTCTAAACACAGGAAGATGGTATTCAGGGTATGACGAGGTGGTCGAACAAATAGAAGAAAGAAAGAACTGTAGCCGGTATAGTTTCATGCTGAGCGGTGTTGAATGCATATGTGATAAAGGGTAGAATACTGTCACAGTCCTTGTGATCTGATGCAACATACATAGACAGCATGTTCGAGAGAATTCTGTTCGTTCGTTCAGTTAGACCGTTCGTTTGGCGATGATATGGCGTAGAGGGCCGAAACCTTGAAGCACAGACACGAAGAATCTCTTCCATCACGTCTGCTGTGAATTGTTGGCCACGGTCACTGATTACAATTTTGGGAGGTCCATGTCGAAGATTTACAAAACGTAGCATGAAGGAAGACACATCGGCTGCAGTTGCCGATGGTATGGCAACTTTCTCGCAGTACCGTGTTAAATGGTCGGTGCAAACGACTATTCAGCGATTTCCATCAGAAGACCGCGGAAAGGGTTCAAGGAGGTCAATTCCGACTTGCTCGAATTGAGTTCAAGGGGGCGGCACCGGATGTAATCGCCCTAAAGGAGCACTTGTTGGGCGCTTATGACGTTGACACTCGTTACAGCTAGACCCGTATTGTTCCGTCGTCTGGCGCATTTTGGGCCAGTAGAATCTTTCTTGAAGACGGCAAATAGTTTTCGCTGTGTCTAGATGACCGGATGTTGGGCCATCATGCATAGCCTGCAAGACATAAACGCGAAGACTATTTGGAACCACCAGAGAATATCGTGAGCCGGTGTTAGTTCTTTTTGTAAACTAGCCCGTCTCGGATGCAGAAGCGCGTAGGCGATGATTTTGGTTTGGTAGCAAGAAGCTGTTGTATGGTGCTGTCCCTTTGTTGCTCATCCTTAAAGGTCTTGGTGTCGGCAAATGGTTGGTCGAGTGATGCAATGTAGGTATCGAAGTTGTCCGCGTCACATTCCGTCGTTGGAAGTGGTAGTCGCGGAAGACAATCTGCGTCAGCGTGACATCGGCCGCTTTTATAGGAAACCGTGAAGTCATATTCTTGTAGACGAAGTGCCCAGCACGCCAGCTGACCAGATGGGTCACGCAGATTGACCAACCGGCATAGAGAATGATGGTCTATCACGACGGTAAAGGGGCGTCCGTACAGGTAGGACCGGAAGCGCTGCACTGCGAATACTACTGCAAGGCATTCTTGCTCTGTGACAGTGTAGTTACGCTCGCACTTGCTGAGCGAGCGACTTGCATACGCTACGACGTGTTCTTGATTATCCAAGCGTTGAACCAGGACAGCACCTACACCGATACCCCAGGCGTCTGTGTGAATCTCAGTGGGAGCCAGAGGATTGAAGTGTCGAAGAATCAGATGAGACGTCAAAAGAAACTTCAACTCCGAAAAAGCAGACTCGCATTCCGGGGTCCAGTCAAACTGCGCACCTTTCTGAAGCAGACACGTGAGCGGGTATGCGATATTGGCAAAGCCAGGAATGAATCGGCGAAAGTATGAACAAAGCCCCAAAAAGCTGCGCAGTTCTTTCACCGAGTTTGGTTGCTTAAATGCCGCCACTTCGGCCGTCTTGGTGGGATCCGGTCGTATGCCTTCTTTGTTTACTAAGTTTGTTACTTTGTTTACCAAGGACGAGTGTTTGGCGCTCTCCAAAACGACATTTCTTTGCGTTGAGCATCAAGCGTGCTTTGCTTAGGCAGTCCAGTACGAGGCCAAGGTGTGAGCTGTGCTCACAAAAGGTGCACTCAAAAATTACAACGTCGTCCAAGTAACACATACACACTTCCCACTTCAATCCACGCAGAATGTTGTTCATAAATCACTCTAAAGTTGCGGGCGCGTTGCAGAGTCCAAACGGCATCACATTGAATTCAAATAGTCCATCTGTTGTAACAAAAGCCGTTTTCTCCTTGTCTTCCTCGTGCATTGGAACCTACCAGTAGCCTGACCTCAAATCCACAGACTAAAAGAGGCCGATAATAGGCAGTCGATAGCATCATCAATCCGCGGGAGTGGGTATACGTCTTTTTTAGTGATGGCGTTGAGACGGCGGTAGTCAACACAAAATCGCCATGTCCCATCCTTCTTCTTCACTAGAATTACTGGAGCGGCCCACGGTGTACATGATTACATTTTGCTTGAGCATCTCGCAAACCTGTTCATTGATCACTGCGCGCTCCGAAGGCGATACACGATATGGTTTCTGTCGGAGAGGTCTGTGAGATGTCGTGTCGATTCGGTGCTTTATATGAGAAGCAGGAAATGATGGTGGATCATGCTGAGCGAAATCAAAAATACCGGCATGTTTGCGCAGAATACTCGCCAGTTCATTACGTTCCTTCGTGCTGAGTGACTTATCAATCATAGCCATAATGGTGGTGTCCCTGGCATGCAGATTATCGCAACGGGTCTTATCCGGGGAATCATTGCTTTCTGCAAAGGTGGCAAGCAAGAATACTTGGTGTTCACGAATCTCTGCAAGTTTCAGACCCTCCGGTAGCACTGTAGGTTCATTAGAGCAGTTAATCACCCATAAACCAGTATGCACTTGCGCAAACTATAGCGTGCAGTGGGGTATTAAAACTGTCTTCTTTATGCAACTGAGATGCACGGGCTCCACAGTTGCGTCAAATGTTCTCTCGCTTGCAGGTGAACAGACAACATGGACACATTTTGCAGACAACGGCGGCACAGTTGTGTCCACAGACACGCAAAGAGCACTTTCTTGAGAGGGCCAGTTTTTCATAAACGCAACTGGGATATCGGAATCTACTGTAATTTGTCCCATGCGGCAATCAACAGTAGCACCACATAGCTTCAAGAAATCGAGTCCCATAATGACGTCATGCGTAGTATGAGGGAGAACAGCAAACTCTGCGACAAAGTTCTGGCACGCCAAACTAACAGTCACAGTGCAGACACCAACAGGTTGTAACACCTATCCGCTCACTCCACGAAACGTGTCAGGACGGTCCCAACGAAACATAACCTTTCGTCCGAGAAGGCGGGTGAAAACCAAACTCATCAATACGTGACATGGTTGCACCTGTGTCCACCAACGCCATTGTTAGTACACCATCGATATGCACTCGAACCTTATTTCTAAACATGGAAGCTAACGGAGGTATATCTGTTGAAATCGAGGAATGTCCGGCGATCTCACCTCCAAAGGCCGCGCCGGCTAGTTTTCCGTAGGAGGCGAGGAGTGGCGGCGCCGAGGAGATGGTGATCGGTTGGCGCGAGGGGCAGGTGGTGGTGTCACACTGCGGTCAGAGGCCGGAGATTGGTTTCGTAGCGGTCCTGGGATCTCGTGAGACGCGCTTCCCGGGAATGTTGGTGCTCGGTAACGCCAGAACGGTTAAATCTCGGTGATAGGTCGTACCTTGGTGGCTGCCGGTGGTTGCAATACCTGGCAATGTGTCCTTCGAAGACACAGTTGTAGCAGACTGGTAGAGGACGCTCGCCGAACCAATGCTGAGACCGGTCAGCTGTGAAGGGTCGGTGACGAGCTTGCTGAGCGGGGGCTGCCCACCTCTGTGTGGCGGGGCCGTGACGAAGGCGTTGGCCATATCGCTGGTCGGCCGCGAATGAGTCACGACGTGGCCGCGGATTTCCAGTTTCGCTGATGTCTGCCGCACATACCGATGGTGGCAAAGGAGCTAATGGCACCACTGTGTAGTAGGGTGGATTGGTAGGTGGATGAGGAATGGTTTCGTCAACCCTACCACCTGGTCGCTGCAGCACTTCACGCACAAGTGCCCGAATAGTAGCGGCAAGGTCGGTGGGTGAGCTCACGTCGACGCTGGCGACCGTTGTCACATTTGCCAGCCTACCAAATTTTGGGGCAATGCGACGAGTCTTCAATTTTTCAAACGTGCGGCAGTGATTTTTGACGTCGGAGGCAGAGGTGAGGTCATCCCTGCCTATCAGAAAATTGTAAACGTCTTCCGCTATGCCTTTTAAGAGGTGTCCGACCCTGTCTTCTTCAGGCATCTGCGGGTTTATAATCTCATAAAGCTTAAGAACGTCCTCTATATAAGCAGTGCACGTTTCTCCAGGAGTCTGGGCTCTTCCAGCAAGAGTCCGCTCCGCGCTTTTCTTTTTTGAGTCGGAGTCACCAAAACACTTCTTCAGTTCTTGAGCAAAAAGAGCCCATGTTGTCAAGGACTCTTCTTGGTTTTCATACCACATCAGGGCAGTGTCCGTGAGAAACAGCGCGACGTTTTCCAGCTGATCTATAGAGTTCCAGTGGTTGTACCGGCTCACCCTTTTGTAGTGCGTTAGCCACGCGTCCACATCTTCTCCTGCCATTCCCGCGAACGAGCGGGGTTCCATGTAGTGATGCCTAGGTGTAGCCAGCGTAGACCTGCGCAAAGTCGAGGCGGTTGATTCCTGACCTTCGCTCTGGGCCATGACGACTGTTGTCGGCGGCAGACCGGCAAGATGACGGCTCCGGCGAACTTCGAACAGCTGTGGCTCCGTGGTACGTCGACGTGCCGTACCCCGTACCTCCACCACTCTGTTACGTCTACGAGAGGGGTTTATTCAGAGCCGACGTAATGGTCGACTCGACGGTATACAGCAGTGAACGCGCACAAGCGAGCTGTTGCCACCAACCGAACGTCCTCTTCTTCTGCCACCACCATGTTCCCCGCTACACAGGTGCACATACCTAAATTACACATGTGGTAACAATATATATATACACGAAAATTGCTGAAGCATTCGTACGTCCATCCATCTGTGCGTCCCACTTCGCTTCACTCGTCATCATTCTTCTCGTGGATATGCTGTGATTTTTTAATACTGTCCGTAGGTTAACTGAAACAGCTGTATATGGGACCATTATTGCGTGCGATCTTTTAGCGTGCCAAAAAAAAACAGCACGTTTCAGTTTCATTCATCGAAGTCGTATTATGATTGTCGTCTTTCTGGTGGTGTTCTTGAGACTTTTCCGCCGTAACTGCAGGAGCTCTATTTCGCGAGCCAGATGGAGTTCTCCTGGCTGGATGCGCGTCTGAACCTCAGTCTCTTGGTGGACGGCCAGCGGACGTCTCCCCTGCCTGAAGGCCTGCCGGACCGCCTCTGGAGGCCACGGCTTGCCTTCTCACCAGTCACGAAGCTCAGTCCACTTGACTCGCAAGCCGACCAGCGTTTGAGGTTCCGTGTAGCACCTGACAACCGCATCGTTGCGAGCCAGAGGTAATATTATCTTCGAGGTGCTGTGTATACTCCTCACATATACAACGTTCATGTTCGTTTTAAATCTCAAGCCTTAGACGCCTTGTCAAACCTGAAAATGGGCCCTCAAGCGTCCGCCTTCGACTGCGTGAACGCAAGTGATTTAAAAAGACATGAAGTGCTTACCTCACCATACTACGTTGCCATGACGTCATTATGCATTACGACACCGTATGACGTCGTCATGACGTGATTGTGTATCATGACATCATCATGACGTCAGTCACATGGCGTTGCGTCATACGATGACGTCATCATCACCGTGTTCCACTGCCTCCATGAGCAACGGGCCGATCACGGAGGCAATGCAAAACCACGTTAGACAGAAAGCTTTTGGGGAGGGCGATCTATTCATTGGCTGAAGACAAAGAACACGATGGCATTCGTCTTCAGGTCGTCTTAGGCAAATTCATAAGGAACCCTATCAGTTTTATTTACCACATACAGTTGCGCAGTAAGTGTTTGGAATTAAAGCAGCTTGACAAGCGCCACACATCAACAGGTTCATTGCGGCAGCAAGATGGCAGAAGGAAAGTATTTGTGAAAACAATGTAAACGAACAATTAATACGCATGTATGTGTTTACTATACGCATCGTGTTTCCTAATTCTCACACAGACCATCAGTTTGAAGTTGGCCAAGGAGTACCTTATTAGGAATGTTGCTAAAGTCCAGAGGAAAGCAGTGGTGTCTTGCAATTATGAAATTTTATTAATGCAGCGAAGTATTACTACGGACATATTTAACAACGCTTGTTCGTAAAAGTAGTATTGGAGAGCGTGCGCTCCCTTTCATGAGTAAACTTGAATTTGTATAGTACCATATTCTGCAAGCAATAACTTAATGCTTGAAAACAAAAGTTAGAGTACACTTCTAGTGTGCGTCCAGTACACTTGAGTGCTCAAACACACCTCGCCTTGACTGTCGTTCTTGGCGTTCATCTTCGCAAAGCCGAATATATCCCCTTTTAGGAGCCTCACCGGAGGTCTTATTCGTAAACGCCTTTGCCCGGTATCCTCATTACGACTCCCCTGCTCTCGTTATTGCTATATCACACGCTTACATAATCAAGCGTGCCGTTTCTCCCACATTTTATCACGTGATTTTGATGGCGAGGAATGTAGAACTCAAGCCCGTAAATATATAAATTTTTATAGGAGGAACTTCGGGGCCAAAAAAAAAAGAACGCTTTCAACGCAACGGTAACGGCAAGCAGATTTGCAGTCGTCGATAATGTTATCGTAGTTGAAATGCGCAATCTTTCATACATGCGTGATTGAGCATTCAAGCTTAACTATGTAACTCAACTATGTATACTTATGTATAGTACGTAAGAACAACAATCAAGATTGACCTTGCAACAATCGCGAAGGTTCCCAAAAGTTTTGTTGCATCTGACCCGGGTGGTCGTCACAAGTGTAGTGAAGCCCGTTCACACGAAAAGGAAGAAACAAGTTCGCGTGGCTTTATATGGCGTGCTGTATGGAACTAGCATCCACAGTATAAAACTGTTCCAAATTCTGCTGCGTTTGGCTTCCGCTGATAGCGTCACGACCAACTTTGTATTTTGAAGGCTGCCTCATAAGCACTGTGACCTAACAAATGTAACAAGCACTCCGTTTACTACATCCCGTTTGATCTGGCCGGGTTTTTTTTTAAGCGCCTTACTTTATATAGCGAGCGTATAGCGTTAGTCGTAACCTTTCCGTATCCTCGATATAAAACTTTGCTGGAACTCTTCCTGAACTCTCAACGGCTTACCATCCCTTCAAGGTTATGGGTTAAAGTCAGCGCTATGCAGGAAACGTTACGGCAGTCAACCCAGGAAGCGTGATAGCAATGAAATATAGTCATGCTAAACGAAGCGACTGCATCGAAGTCGTATAACATTTATTAGAAGCGTTACATTTTTTACGCCTCCATTCGCTAAGAACGACCTGCAATCCACTTGACTTGTTTTACGAGCACTTTTTAGAAGGAGAAAAATAAACAAAAGAAGACAGTTTTGTCGCAAGGTGGAAACAATGTAAGCGATAGCGAGAAATTGAAATGGGATCCGATCACTAGCATCCAACTATTTTAGTTTCCAACCTGGCGTAATTAAACAAAACCCGCCTACAGCACTGGTCATGCCGGCTTTCCCTGTTGCTTCATCGCAAGCTGAGTGGCGAGAAGGCAGCACATACAAATATACGAGCCGTCTGTTGATTCCTGATAAGGCGCGTGTGACCGCTGCTCTCGGCCTGTCAAAGTACTTCCTGTTATTGACCAACAGCTTTTCCTCGCGAGACAAAAAACGACTGGCGCGTTTCTACCCATCTTGAGCCACGATCATCAGTTGCCGGCGCTGGCTTCTCATAATGACAATATCCAGATTTTAACGTCCCCAGATCACGATATGATTATGACATACGCCGAAGTAGAGGGGTCCAGAACTTCGGTAAAATTTCGGGACATCTGGCGATCTCTGACATCACGCAGCATACACGGGCCTATACAGCATGTCGCCTTCATCGAAGTGCGACCACCGTGCCGCCGAAGCGTAGACACGCTAGCGCTAAAGAAATCAGTTCTGTTCGAGCCTTGGGGAAGGTTGAAACGTTGGCCCGACACATCCCCTGTATACGCCTTTTTTCAATGATATGTGATCACTACTGATTCCGCGTATGCACCACGAACTGTGGCTACTTGGACTGCCTTGCTATAACTGCCGTAACTTTATGCGCGATGTTGTAAAGCTGACTGATATATGTGGGGTTTAATGTCCCAAAACATTATGAGAAACGCTGTAGTGGAAATCTCCGGAAATATTTAACGTGCACCCAAATCTAAGCACACGGACCTACAGCATTTTAGCCTCCATTGAAAATGCAGCCGCCGAAGCTGGGATTCGATCCCGCGACCTGCGGATCAGCAGCCGAGTACCTTAGCCACATAGACCACCGCGGCGGGGCTATGTTGTAAAGCTACTGGTGAGCGAAGTCAGCTTGCACCAAATATGAAAGGCACGAGAAACAGATTTCAATTCAACCTGAGAGTTTCCACGTGAAGTAAGTTTCGCGTAAAATAATCTTATGTGCATAATATCTAGTTCTTTCTGTCCTTCCTGTGTCCTTTACAGTGCGCAATATACGAAACCAGATAGCTGTCTTTCGGTTGGACCCCCACTCTCCCTTTCTTTTACCATTTGTTTTATGTCACGCTCACTCGCTTGTTTCCTTGACCAGCACTGCCATCAAGTTGTGTTTGACAGTGCGAATCGGAACATAAAGCGCCAGCTAAATTAAATGCAAACAGATAGATGTGTTACTATAAGAGTACGAAATGGATCCTAGCAAACACAAGGCCAGATGACAATGTGCACCTCTTTTTGTCTGCGCAGGCAGGGAATCTGTCATGTCAAGAAAGTGTGACAGTGGGCTGTTTAAGAGTTCTAAAGGCACAACTTGAGCCTCGCGAACCAATCTAAATTCTAATTCTCCTTCAAGCGATAAAAAGAGGTGCGTCAATTCTAATTCTCCTTCAAGCGATAAAAAGAGGGGCGTCAAGTGACGGAGCATCCCACACCCGTCTTCCTTGAAAAGTTGCCGTTTGTTAGACGCATTTTGGTTTTATTTTATTATTAGATCTGTTCTTATATATATATATATATATATATATATATATATATATATATATATATATATAATATATATATATATATATATATATATATAAAATGTGCGTGTGTGTGTGTGCGTGCGTGTGCGTGTGTGTGTGTGCGTGCGCGCGCGCGCGCGTGTGTGTGGTGTGCGTGCGCGCGCGCGCGCGTGTGGGTGTGTGGTGTGTGTGTGTGTGTGGTGTGTGTGTGTGTGTGTGTGTGTGTGTGTGTGTGTGTGTGTGTGTGTGTGTTTTCGTTCGTTCGTCACTATCAGACTTAAGTTGAGTTCCAATTACCGCTGTCGATCGACGGGTCTTTTGCTCACGGAATTCAGCTCACGTTTCGTGAAAGCTAGCGAAAGAAGACTAATGAAACGCTGACTCTTCCACTTCGTTTTCCATTTCAGGCTGAACTTCGCTCTCTGCTGCAACATTGACTACATCTATTATCCCTTCGACGTTCACGTCTGCGACATGTCCATCGTAAATAGTAAGTCTTCTCCAAGTATGCTTTCAATTTTCTTTCTTTGGCGCAGCAGGCCAATTCATGATGGTGATTGCACAACACAAAGAAAAATTACCTAAATAATCGGTATCACTGATATTTACCCTTGTGTGACTGGCAGAGCGTAGGCCGTGTAAGTTTTTTCTGCTCTAGTTTGTGTTAATGCAACCTTTTGACAAAGAAACAGTGGTCATCTTTAAAAAAAGAATATGTGACGTGATGAGTTAAGGCTGAAGAGAAGGAGGCTGATCTGTACTTTAAGGGTCGCACTACGTATGTGAACCTTAGCTGCCCCTGTATACATACCTTAAATCGGTTCGCTCTATTGGCCAATCAAATTTCTCAGGTGGGAGGCGCACGCGGCTCGTAGTGCGCGCCGCGTTCCGTCGCCAGCTGCTGGCCGTGCTGATAGACCCGCTCGGGCCGAGCCTGTTCCCCGTGCTGCTGTCTTGGACCGGCTTCTGGCTCGACCCGAAGCGCCCCGTGACTCGCGCGGCGCTCATGGCGCTGTCCTTCGTGATCCTGGAGCATCAGCAGGTGAGCCACTTCACCAGCAGGGCGCAGGACCACCAGCTGCGCTCCATCGACGTGTGGTACCTCATCTGCCGGTGCTTCATCATCGCCGCGCTCCTCGAGTGCGTCCTCATACTGCACACGGTGAGCGCTGCGATTCTACACGCTTCACGCAGAAAATGTCAGAGCCAGTGACAACAGTTGTGCGAGTGAGAGAGCAGAAAAGAAATGCTAGAAGATGGCTGGAGAGAAAGAGCCGCCCTCTCGAGATGTATACCCACACTACCCAGACACTGAGCTGTGCGACATAAGAATGGAAGCTTGAGCGAGTTGGTATGGGTTCGTCTTGGCTGAACAGCACACACGAGACGACGATGGAATAAAAGAACGCAGAAAAGCGCTCGTCCGTGTACTTTTCTTTCGTCCTCATCTCGTGTGCACTGTTCAGCCAAGATGAGCTGTGTTACCTAAGAAGGTTCCACAATTAGCGTCTTTTCCTCACCTCATTCAAAAGTGAAAGCCCTGTACTACCTCAAGTCGTCGCTGCAACATCTTGTCATGCCGTGAAGCCTTGTAAAGTAGATTTTACATTTATGCGGAACGCGTACACAGCTGTATAAATTACAATTGTGAACGCGACACGTGCTGGCCCTGCCGTAATTGTACTTCTTCCCGTTACTCTGCCGCCTTACCTCATTCCACTAATCTAATAAGTTATACCTCATATTTATAGCCACTTAGATTTTTACTTTCACTGTCCGACTTACAACGAGACATATGCCTTAATGGGTGCCATTAAAATGATTTATGTAAGGAACAAGAAGCAAAGTCTGCTGATAGAAAATTGTGGGAACTCGTTTAGCTGTGTTGACTGTGACACCACCAACAACCTAGGTGACCCAAATTCAACCGAAGTCTTCCACCACGGCGCACCCCGTAATTCGCTCGTGCTTTTGAACGTACGAACCCAGAATTTTTTACTATTCTAAACTATCATTGCTTTTTCTCTTTATTCTTTCTTTATTTTCTCGTCATGGTTACGGGGCTCGACTGCTGTCCCGAAGGTCGCGGGATCAAATCCCGCCCAATGTTGTCAGATGCCACGGAGCAAACACGTGAATATTCATCACAAAAGAAGCCCAAAACAAGCGGAAGCATATAAAATTTGCCAGTTCATGAAAATATTCTGACTGGGATTTTAAAAAGTCACTAAAATACGAAGGATAGTTTCGTAAAATCACGTAATTTTCTTGTCTTATAGAGCCAAAATATGCGCCACTTTGAACGAGAGCACATAGTCACTCTTTAACATTGTCTCTAGGGCAGTCTCCCTTCCAATGAACGCACGTTTGTCAGCTCATGATTAACGGTATTTGTCCACTCCTCCAAGGTTCGTTTGACTTCGACATCCAACCACAGGCGTGCTCGTGTGGTGAGGGTCAGGGGAGCCGGCTTCCCCTCTAGTCATCTGAAAAATGGGTGGGGCACAAAATCTGCCCCATGCATTAAGAAAGACGGGGAGGGGGTGACACTGTGATGAGCCTTTGCCATTAACCCCGCACACGCCTATACAATCAGCTACCCATTGTCATCGACGAACACGATACAAAACGTGCGTTGGTGAACGTGATGACTAAAATAACTATATTTCATAGAAAAATCAAATAAGCCCCAAAAACGCTACAATGGAAAAATTCGATACAAGCGACTCGGCAAAGAAAAAGCCCAAATCCGCTCATTATAAGCTCAACTTGAGCTGTGAGCTTTCATTGAGCTTTCACTGTGACATCTCACTTTAGTGTCCCTTTGAAGAACACTGGGTGGTCGACATTAATCCGCAGTTTTCCACAAGGGCATGCTCCCCTAATTAAGCCGTGGTTCTGGGACGCGAAATTGAACGCTCATTACAAACAAAAATCGTACACATAGAAGGCGCCAGAGTCGGCGTTTCAAAAAGTCAGCTTCACAAGACCCTTTTTACGCGGATTTCTTCATCGTAAGCCTCCATCTTTCCCTCATTTCAACGATTCTTACGCTTCTTCTCTTCTCTCCGTCCTTCCTTCTCCGAAGGCGGACAACTTGCAAGATTCCTCTGTTCCTCCTTCGCCACCTCGCGGTGCCACCTCAAGCGTCGATGTGCCTTCGCCAATGACGTCGATGGCCAGCGCAGCCGGCGGCTCGCCGACGAAGCTCGCGACCTCGTCCGCGGCTTCACCCGCAGCCTCTGCGCCAGCAGCGGGACTGGCGCGCGTGGTGCGGCTTTCGCCGCAGGAAACGGACGACGCGTGCAAGACGTTCTTCCCGCTCGCCTTCTTGCTGGCCTCGCTGCTGTACGCCGGCGCCTTTGCCGGACCGCTGATCACGTCCAAGGACTTCGCCAAGCTGCCCGTCCGTTATGCGGAGTGATGTGGCCGCTCCGGACAAGCCCCAGATGGCTTCTTCAGTCCTGGGCCGAACACGCGAAACCGTTCTTTGGAACCGCGGCCCTTTCACTGACGATAACTCGACTTTGTCGAGTGAGACTTGATGTTTTTTTTTTCAGCTGCATTTTACGGAAACACTTTTATTGAAAGAACGCCATCTTTAATTAATCTTCGAATACTCTGTCTTTAAGGCCGCCATTACTAGTGTTCAAAATTCAAATACCCTTGCCCTCCCGGGCGTGTGCATGGCTGACGCAGGTTCTTTTTCTTTCTTTCTTTCTTTTTTTCTTTCTTTCTTTCTTTCTTTCTTTCCTTTTTTTTCTTTCTTTACTTATTTATTTATTTCATTCTTTTCTTATTTGTTTGTTCATTTTCCTGTCTCATCAGAAAGCGGCCCCATCTAACTGTTTCCTTCCTCCGTGCCGGGAATTGAGCCTTCACGCATGTGCTTAGGCAACACTTCAGCTGCTGTAGGCAACAACGACGGTCAAGCGGTCATGTTAAGGCAACTACAAAATACATGGAACAAAAATTATGGAGCATCTCCCCGAAGGGAACCCTGATTGGATGCGAAGCATCAGCGGTGCGCACGGCGTTGACCAGGTTGAAACAGGCGTCGACGCGGATGCTGAAAGAACGGTTTGAAGCGAAACTCGGTGTCGCGTTTACTCGAGTGAACGTTTGTTTGAAACGCAAAGATGCGGGAGGTGGCTTAACTTTTGTATAAGTTTCATCGCAGATAAAAGAGCCGAAAGAGTGTTTCCACTCGACGTGCGGTCGAGCATTGCGGGTGGTGGAGAGGGTGAAGCGAGAGAGAAGTTTGTTCGAGTGGGCAGGAGAGTCGGCCGCTGCGGACGCTATGGAGGGCGTGCAGCGGGTGAAGGAGAGAGGGACGTCGGCAGCGCACCTGCGAGGGAAGCGTGCGAGGTGAGCGTGACGTCAACGCGCAGCTGTGGAGGGACCTACTTGCCACCGCTTCAACACCTACGGCGAGGGGAACGCGTTGCGGCTCGTTCGTACGGACGTACGCACGTACGGCGTTACACACGCGATTCAAAAGCTGCTTCGCATCTATCAATCAACCCCGATAAAGGATCATACTGTCATATCAGACACAACTGATCGCCTAGAAGCCCATGATCAAGAGAACATGAATTATAGGAAAACGGCGCATACACATACGCATTTGACTGGCGTAGCTTGTAGGAACGCATTTCTGCGCGCTTCCGGTGCTCGCTCATCCGCCCTTTCTTTTTTTAGAGCATTTATTTGTGCTTATTAGCTGGGTATGTTAGCAAAGCCTCTTCTCACTACCTGGTCTAGGAGTGGCACTGGCTAAAACTTTCAGGTATAAGGCACACGTAAATACCTTACAAAAATATTGCGCGAGGGAACACCCTTCATAGGTCAAATGGTAGAGCATTGGACGCGTAATTTGAAGGACGTGGGTTAGGATATCTCTAATGAAAGCAGTGATTTTTCGCCACTTTACTTTCCATGTAAGTGAGATTCATTAGAATGTGGTTAAGAAATCGGAATGTGCCCCCTGCTTTCCTGGCTCATATGTATGTCGATTTCATTAGTGTCGACAAATTTCTGTGACAGATGCGTTTTTGCCGAAGGTCGACTTAATCATTTTAGGGGCAAAGCTCCTTGGGGGTCGAGCTATGTCCACCATTGTCTCTAGATGACGATGACGCTGATGAACAAGCACGTTCTACACAGCATGCACTCTGAAATCGCGGCATATCACATGCAAGGTAGGTACCCACTATACGTCATGATGATTACGATGAATAAAAAGCGCGTTCCAGACCACACATTCTATTTCTGCCATCACTGTACAGCTTATACAAGGTACCGACTATACGTCTTGACGATGACGATGTTGACGATGAGGAATAAGCGCGTTTCAGACCCTACATTTTCTTTTTGCCATCACGGTACAGCCCATGCAAGGTACCCACTAAAAGTCATGACGACTTCGCTGATGGCAATGAAGAACAAGCGCGTTCCAGACCCTACATTTCTATTTCTGCCATCACGGTACAGCTTATGCAAGGTACCCATTATACGTCATGACGATGTTGACGATGAAGAATAAGCATGTTCCAGACCACACATTTTCTTCTTGCCATCACGGTACAGCACATGCAAGGTACCCACTAAATGTCATGACGACTTCGCTGATGGCGATGAAGAACAAGTGCGTTCCAGACCACACATTATCTTTCTGCCATCACGGCACAGCACATGCAAGGTACCCATGATACGTCATGGCGATGACGATGAACAAGTGCGTTCCAGACCACACATTCTATTTCTGCCATCACGGTACAGCTTATGCAAGGTACCCACCATACGTCATGACGATGAAGAATAAGCGTGTTCCAGACCACACATTTTCTTTTTACCATCACGGTACAACAGCACATGCAAGGTACCCGCTAAACGTCATGACGACTTCGCTGATGGCGATGAAAAACAAGCGCGTTCCAGACCACACATTATATTTCTGCCATCACGGCACAGCACATGCAAGGTACCCATGATACGTCATGACGATGAACAAGTGCGGTCCAGACCACACATTCTATTTCTGCCATCAAGGTACAGCTTATGCAAGGTACCCACTATACATCATGACGATGACGATGAAGAACAAGCGCATTCCAGACCAGACATTTTATTCCGGCCATCACAGTGAAGCACATGCAAGGTACCCACTGTACGTCATAACGATTATGAAAAACGAAGGCGAAACGAAATTCACAAGTTGACACACCATTTATGGCCAATAGGCCTTGTACACCGCTCTATCACTCATTTACATGCGTGAGTGCTTAATTTCAAGGGTGATTTAGGGTGCAACTGAATGATCCCACTGCTTCCCCCACTCATCATTATTCACTCCGTGGTTTTTTGATTTTTTAGTGTTCAAGTGGTGAGCAGTAGCACTCGCGCAATTCACATAGAACGTGCGCACATAGGACGGGCTAGTTCCTATTGCGTCTAGCCATATACGAATTCACTATAAAATAATACTTGGGATGCTTTGAACTTCCTAAGGCCTATTTGAACACACAGCGATGTAGAGTAAGGCTCCGAGTCCACGTGGAAACCATGGGCACCGTTCAATCGTGTTGTCGAAATTCGTCAGCAGTGCATAAGCCCGCCTCCTGTCGTTTGGTTTCGGCCCAAGCTAGACGCGATTGCGACTCGAGCGTTTCCCCAGTCTAGGCCGTGTATGCTTGGCCGGGCCATCGCCACAGGAACAGTGCAGGGCACACGTCACACTCTTCTGCTCTTGCTCCCGCAAATTGTGCAAAGACGACGTAAACGAAATGGACGGCCAGCTTTATCTCCTAGGAGACAAGACAAGACTTTACTTTACTCACATACTTTATTTCTTGAACCATTCCTTCGACAAAGAGGAAATGAGCCTCATTAAGGCCCTGAAGCCGACCTCTCAACTCCTGGCCGTCCAGAGGGCCCGAGTGAGGGCCTGACCGCTCCCGACCGAGCGCCAATCCTGGTAAACGTTGATTGAGGTGACGTCGCCGAGTTAACTCGCGCCTGTTGAGGAATGAATAAAATTGTTTAACTCATTCGCTCACCCGCATAGCCTTGAAACGTAGCCATCTATGGCTTTCAATTTTGTTCACTCGTATTTAGTTTAAAATTTGGTGCACGTTAAAAAAATTCCTGGCACACTACGTGTTATGGCTTCTCACAACGGCGTGTCATATAATCGCATCGCATTTCTGGTGCGCAAAAGCTCGCCTTTCTTATTCATTCTTGAAAAAATTTCGGCGCGCACACAATAGACTTATTTTCACAAATTTCCTCAAACCAACTCGCCCAACTTTCCATAGTATTGCATTTAGGTTCATCGTTCTCTTCATTAGCCCATGCATTTATGCCTGTGAGTAGCAATGTGCCACCACCTTAATTCCGGAGCCCATGCATGCTTGTCGCTCAGTGTGCATGCGTGGCGCACTACAGCAGGTACTTGCTAATAAAATTCGAGAGCTAGCCACACTACCACTTATTATTTAGCTGATACACTGCAATGATTCAACTTTCAGGAGAATTTCAGTAACGATTCCACCTCAGATATTCAACAAATTCTATTATTTCTCTCCTCCCCCCTTTTTTCTTCTTTTTTTACATTGCGCCAAAATAATTTCACAGTCAAAACACAGTAATCATATTCCCCTAGTCTAAGAGACCTAAAGGTATTGACTTGCATTAACCACCGGCTTCTTGGCCAATCCCCCTTAGTGGGTGAGAGCCACAAAAGAAAGGAACAAGCAAGCAAGCAAGCAAGCAAGGTACTTGCTCAGCTGAAACCCTGGTATTTTTTATAGGCATTTGATCAACACTGGATCCATCCATTGTGGTTATAAGAGGAAAAAGAAGAGAAAAGTGAGCCCCGTAACTGTCTGCATCAGCGTGCGACACCTCAACAGTAGCTCACAAGGGATGGGGGTGAGGAGGGATTAAAAGGACAGGATTAAAGGTATATATATATAGAGAGAGAGATGCGCTAGGCCTGCAAGCGACAACATAAGAGAGATAGGAGAGATAGGAAAGATGGAAACACGGTCACGGGAGTCCGAGACGGGGCACCACTTGCGAGAGCTCTTGTCGGCGAACAGGAGATGGCGTAGGGCTAATCCAGGCTGCCAGAGCTGCGCTTGTCGTTAAGATATCGCGAGAGCACAACCAGTCGGCACGGAATCGAGCGAGCGAGTCCAACACTGGATGGCTTTTTACAAGTGCCCAGTTAGAGGCATAGTAATTGCACGCATCGTCTCGCTTGCAATTTTGCGCGACTTGCTAAAAGAATTAGCCTTGCCCTCCTTTCTCCGCAATATTGGGTATTTGATCCAGGTTATTCATGTTTTCACGCTATGCAAACCCACGGGGGAAAACTATTGCTGAAAGAAAATGTATGTCGAAAAAAAATGCAACCGCCTC